CCCGGGGTGTCCCCCCTGCCCCTAGGGCTGTGGCAGCCTCACTGCACCCAGCCTGCAGGGCCGTGTCGTAGGACAGGTCACTTCATTAGCATTAGTCCCGTGCCCTCGTCATCCTCTCCACCATCAGACATGGCTGCAGTACCTCTAGGAGGAACCCCACACCTCCCCACACCAGGTACCGTGTCCCAGAGCGAGGCCTGCCACGACCCTGTTTGTAACTGGGCAGGGCACTGGCACCGCCGTTGCTGTTCTTGCTTGGACCTGGGCTGACGTTCCGGGGAAGAGCCCACTCACCTGTCTGGAAAGTACCGTCGACGCAGGCTCGTTTCCTGTGCAGGGCTCTTCTCAGTGAGGCAGTGGCAGCGTCACCCTAGGCAGCCCTGCAAGGTCACCTCCTAGTGGTTTCTCTGCATGAATTCAGATCCTTGACATTTATGAAAGGAACAGAAGTTTTCTGAAAGAGTCTTCCCGCCCAAGCAAGCAGCTGCAACCTGACATGTTGAAACCCTGGTGCATCGAGACCCAGCCAGGGGATGGACTCACTGCCAGGTCTTGGGGGTCCCGGTGGGCCGGAGCCAGAGTGAGTCTCTGAGCCGCCCATGGGCATGGGATTTGGTGTGGCTGATCAGCAGGTACGAGACATGCGCACATCCCCACCCATGCAGACGGCTGGGTGCAGCTCACCTCTTGAGACTTGGGACGACAACAGGATAGAAGTTTGTGGTGGCAGCCGTGGGGGAGGTGCCTGCAAGGGGGACGGTCTCGTCTGCCCCACACAGGCCAGCCCTTCCCCAGGGGTCATGGGCCGAGAGGCAGCACCTCCGGCTCCCACCTGGCTTTCCCCCTAGCACTTCCTGGAGGGGTGTGGGGCTGAGGCGGTGCGGGCCGGGAGCCGGAGTGCTGCCTCTGCTGCATGGCGTCGGCTGTGGGTGTGCAGGTCCCAGCTCAGAAGGTCTTCCCATTGCCCCCCCACGGTTTTCTGGGGCCCCAAGGGGGGCCCGTGCAGTTCATAATTGAAGTCTGTCTGTCTGTCTGCTCTCTTTTTAGACTCCGTAGGGGTTGTATGCCTCCTTGGTTTTGTGAGGGGGGGGTGTGGTTGTGTGCGCACACGCGTGTGTGCGCGTGTACTCTCGGCCAGATGATGTAAATACCAAAGCAAAACCAAGTTCTGGAAATGCCAGCTTCTCTCCCACTAATGATTTAGGAAAGGACTGTCGTTGAAGGACTTCTTGAGTTCCTTTCCTTACTGCCTTCGTGTTAGAGCAAAGTGGAAGGTTGTTAGGGACCACTGGTATTATATAGATCAAGACTTTTATGATTATGTTGTTTTCTCTCATTTTATTATATTATTAAGAAAGCGATTTCCTTGATGAAAGAAAGAGGGAGAGGTTCCCCCGGTCGGGTCTCGTCCCGTCCTCAGGCCACAGTCCTCCCAGCCACCAGGCTGTGGGCATGCCCTGCGCGTTCAGGTCAGCCTGTCCAGCCGTGGCCCCTTCGAGTTCCCATGGTCGTCTCCATCATAGCCCAGTGTCTTTAGTGGCTTAGTGATTACAGACGCGCGCCAGGCCAGGGCTCCCCTGGACACCCCTGCGAGGCTGGAGGGCCTGCCTATGGACGCCCGGTGCCGCCTGCCCTGAGCCTCCAGGGCACAGCCTGGTACCTCTCTGACGTGGGCACTCGGGCCGAGGGATCAGCCGTGCCTTAAGGAGCCACCAGTCCTCCCTCCCAACCAGAGGCCCCTCAGCGTCACCTCCCGCAGCCCCGTGGCCACGCTGTGTGCTCAGAGCGAGGCTGAGGAGCCAATATGACAGGCAGGGCTTTGCCCCGATGAGCAGCAAGCCGGCGAGAATTATCTGCTCAGCTGCCTTCCACGCCTTCACACAGTCCCGTCAGAACAAGTCAAAACAAGCCCCCGCACACCTGCTGAGTCTCAAGCTGGCACCAACCTTTTCAGACCTCACGGGTGTCTGTGCGGAGGTTCCCGGACCCTCTGCTCTCGCCCTCAGCCAGCCTGCTGCATGGAGGGCGTCGGCAGGCGAGCGTCTGCCCTCGAGCGGCAGCAGGCTGCCCGGACACCTGACCGCGCGGTCACACCAGGGCTTCCAGGAACCCGCGTGGCCACCCCCGCCTTCTCCCCTGCCCAGGCTGGTTTTCAGGGCCTTCCTCTGCCCCAGTCAAGGCCCCAGTCAGTGCAGGGGCGGCGGTGGCCTAGAACCGTGCAGCACGACATTGGACTCGCAGCCAGCACCTGTGGCCGCGGCCACGGAGAGGGTCCGTTTTACAGCTGGGGACGGTCCAGACCCGTGAGAGGTCCCCGACCCCACCCCTCAGACCTCCACAGTGGTCACAAGCTCTTTTTTTTT